ATCCTGGGGCGGCCGCAGCTGCTCTGGGCAGCCTGTGCTTAAGGCCGCCCCAGCCGCACAGCGTTAGGATTTCTATTAGGATTTCTTCCTAATATCGAATGGAAACCTTCGCTCTTCCAGGTTAAACCCATTCCGCCGGGTCCTGTCTCTACGTGCTCTTGTAAATTTTCTTGCCCAATCTTTGGTGAAAGTTCCCGGTAGGTTTTGGAAGGGCGCTTGGAGCACCCCAAAGCTGCCTCTCTCTTCCGCAGGCTGAGCAATATTTGAGTCATCTGCCTGTGCCCATGGATTACAGCAATGGAAAACTTTAAACCATTTATGTGGATTCCAGAATCCCTTCGGCCGAGCCTCGCTGTGAAAACTGAAGGACTCAGGATATATCAGCGTGGACAGAGGAACATCACGGGTCGCATGTCTGGTTATTAAAGGCATCATGTTGACAAATGTGTTCATATCAATATTGTGGCTATTTTAAAAGAAAAATGTACATTTTGGTGTACAGCTGAATCAATACCTGCTAAATTATGTTGAATAAGCAGTGATGAATACCATCGTGATCTGTTGCTTTGGTGGGACAAGGGCAATCCTTTGGAGTTCACATTCAGATATAAATGTATCCATTTATTGCCCTCTAGGAGAGGGTCCCAAAAGGCAAACAAGACAGAATAGTGAATTTCTGATCTGTGTCTAGTACATACACAGTGATACAAACCTGGGGTTCAGGGGGTTGTCCATTTCTTGTGACTCTCTGAGGCTTAGCTGAGTACTGGGGGAAATATTTGCCTTTTAAATCATGAACACCTGTTGATAAAATCTTATAATACCACGTTTCAAATAAAAGGACAGCTCTAAAACTGGCAGGTGTCTTGAACTCAAAGTAGAACTTTGGCAGCAGAAGTTACGGGGTTATAAAATATGGCAAGCTCTGTCTAGATGCTCTGTTCTAAAATTTCCTTTGAGATCCATCTCTTCCTTCCTGTGTAAATCTTCCTTTTTCTCATTCTGTTCATTTTAACAATAATTATTTGGACATAGTTTGTGATACAGTCTTAACCATACCTAAGTTGTAATGATGAAATTAATCAAGTCATCATGAATTTAATCATTTCTTTGCAATGTCATGTTATTTCCAGCTGCATCCATTTATAGTTTACAGGTTATCATTCTACAGCACCAGTTTAACAATGGCTTGTTAAAAATAAATGCTCAAATCTGTTGTTTTGGTTTTTTTTCAATTAGCTCTAATGACCATTTTGATGGTCATAATGACCATCTGTATTAAGCAACACCTGTATCTGGAGCACAAAGTTCAGTCAGTCCACATTCAGAGAAAACAGAAGAATTTCCAACAGCCTGGCATCTCTGTGCACAAGTTTAAGAGTTTTTAAACCAAATTCTGTGGCTCTATTTGTTCAGCATAGCTTCTCCAGTGCTCGAGAACTTTTTGTCCTCAAATGTTCTAAATGTGCCACAATGCTGCTCATACTGCTCGAGCCAAGGGTTCTTCAGTAAAACCTTTACATTAACCGACCTCTAAGATTCAGGAGCAGCTGGCACAAGATGCCAAAAATAATTTGTGGTGTGAGTGAAAGCAAGTGCACATGTGAGAAATCGAGAAAACTGAGCAAATGTACAGCCAGGCCTTGAGTTAATTCAGTTTTGATGGAGTAGAACTCGGATCACATCCCTGATTTTAGCAAAACATTAAAGAAAAAAGTGAAGTCAGGCGTGGGGACACCACACATCACTGCAAACATCACAGGGGATTTTTTGTTTTACTGCTGGTACATTGTAATTAATGTACCCTGGTGTGAGTGGTGGAGAAAGACGTGCAACCATCGGCTGCAGCTGCATCATGTGATGAAAAGCCGTCCCACAGCTGCTCTTGGTTCCCCTTCCTGGGCTTGCCTGCCCTCCTGGGACACATGGCTGCTTGCTTACCAGAGTTATTGCATTTTTTAACTCTGATTTACAAATGCTTTGCAAGTCTCCATTTGGAGATTTCAGCTGTGGCTTAGAATAGTTTGTGTTGTACAAAACATTGCTGCAGGATTTGCTGGAGACCTGCTTTTGAAAAGCTTGCCATAGATCAAGTGCCATTAGATCCACTTCACAGCCTCCTCAGCACAAGTTAAAGCCTGTTTTCTTTTTGAAAAGGTTTTTATTCATAGTGCTGCATTTTAGAGTTCTTCCCCCACCCCACTCCATTTCCAGGATTGAGAAACAAATATTCCATGTTTGAACTGAGGACCTTTATGACCATATAAACTCTGCAGGTAGCTCCAAACAAAAGGAGTGAAGAGATCCCACACAGCTATCCCAGTCAGGAAAACATTACAGGGAAAAGCCCCTTAAGATCAAAATGAAACAAAGAAAAACCCTCCAGAAAACCACAGCTCTGCCCGAGGCAGGCAGACACACTCATTTTGGCAGAGACTGCATTGCAGCATTTTGGCTCAACTCCGAGAGCAACAGTGCGGCCTGAGGGTGGAAACCAGCACTTGTACAAACTGTTCTTAACTTGGCTTCGTCTCTGAAGCAAATGGATCCAGAACTATTTATTACTAATACCATTTCACAACACTGCAGCCATCTAACTCCAAAGAGCCACTGCTCTGTAAAGTGCTGGCATTTCTCCCTAGGTGTGATCTGTCCCATTCATTCCCACAGCAGCTCTCAGAGATCACACAATGACACAAAATGTGTCAATCACACACCTGACAGCAACATGACCAGGCACTGACAGGCGTGAGGCGCTCTGAGCCTCCCCAAAGGTGCGAGATTTTATATCTGAACTGAACCAGGCCTCTGAGCATGAGTGGCTCACCCAGCAATGTGAGATCTCACAGCTCTAACACTCTCCCTCTGAACAGACCAAAAGTTCAGTCATGCAGGCTTGCAGGAGGCACTCACTCCAAGTATATCCCAAAAGGAAAATGTGCTGGATTTGTGAGAATTGATAATTCAGTGGTAGAATTTCCATTTGCCAGACGAGGCAGAGGTTTCTGCTTGAAAAGTGCAGCTGACAGATCACCAGAGCAGCGACAGAGTTTTCAGTCCCTGGGAAATGTTCTGGCCTCCACATTTCTAGAACTGAAGGAGAAAGTTAACAGTGCTGTAGTCTTTGTCCTAACTGCACTGGATTAAAAAAAAAAAGGAAAAAGTAATTACTCTGTATGCTACCAGAAGAGAAAACACACAGTATTTAACTCAACCACAAACAGGAAATCTGTTGCTAAGTCACCCAGCAGAACATTCCCAGCTTTTCTTTTCATGCAGAAATTCTATGTCATTAGCACAACCGCTGTACCAAGAGAACACACCACAGTCCTCCCCTGCTCCTGGTGAGCTGGAGGCTCTGCTCTCCTCTTGATCAGTGCCATCACTGCAGTCAGCTTTTACTCTCCTGTCTCTTCCTTCTTTTTGCAGTTTTAGTTGGAATCGATTTACATGGAAGAATTTTTAAAAATTCCTGAATTTATCTTCAGATGGAAATCAGTCTAAGCTTGTTGACAGCGCCTGAGAATGTGGTAAATAACAAGGAAAGCTGGGGTTGAATAGCTTATCTTAACAGGTGGGAAAATAGGATTAGAAGCATTAACTGCTAAGCAATTAAAAAAAATGAAGAGCGTTAATTGCATATGAATAGATTGTCTCTATTGACAAAACTACCTCACTTTCCAAATAATACTCTCTTAGACTGCTTAATAAATATTATTTATTTGCAAACTCAAATCCACAGAAAATCCACTCACTGATAATTCCAAGAACTATTTATTTGCTAAAACTTTATTTAATCTCAACCACAATTTCCTGCCTTTCTGGAGGCAACAATTGAACACTCTGCAGTTTTTCTGTAAATGAAGCCACAAGAAGTCACTATCACACACATATAAAATTTGTTAGTGATTTGAAGGTACATTAAAGCATCTTACATGAACCCTTTAACAAATGTTAATTAAACTAATTGTGAGCATTCCTTTGAATAGCTCAGGATGACACTTGAGCAGGGTAATTCTCCCTGGCTGCAGTTTGTGTTTGCCCAGCTGGGAGGTGGCTGCACCACAGCTCCTTTATTGGGCTCTAAACTTCTCAGCTCCAAGATAACTTACACACTTTGCCTTGTAGGAAGAGGAAGTTGAGTTTCCCACCTATTGTTTAGGAAAGATTTCATATTGAATGTGTTGGGGAGGGAATTGTGCTTACAGCAAACCTGACTGACTAAATCCAGCTCTGATGTAAAATCTAAAGCTGGACAAGCTCTACCATTATTAAATGATACAGTATGAATATGAAGTTTACTTTTTTCATTAAACTGAATAAATGTTTTAATCTAGAAAAAATCATTAGAGATTTTCATTTACTCCAGGCCAGGCTCCCCTAATATTTAGGGAACAATACATCAATAGAATTTTTAGGTTTATATATATTTTCCCAAGTGTTACTTCCCCGTTAGAAACATTTCCCCTCCTTGATCAGTGAACAGATTTAGGTGAATTGTCTGGTCACTCTTTTCTCCACTTTCACCCCTCAGTCTATAATTCTAGATCCCTACAAGGTTTATCTTCTCCAAAAGATTTTCTGCTTCCAGATTTTAACAGAACAGTAAGAAAACATAGTTCCTGCTCCATTCATGCTTTTTAGAAACAATGAATGTATAAAAAATAACCCAGGGTTATTTCAGAGGACAATGTAAAAAATACAAGAAATTATTTTGCTTGATTTTGGATTTTTCCCTCAAGAAAAACTAAGCAAACTGCTGATATATGAAGCAATGGTGGTTAGCTAATGATTGATTCTCTTTTTTCCCTTTACTTTTCAAATATCCTATTCCAGAGAATAATCAGAACTTTTTGCATTTGTACTTCTGTTTTTTTTTCCCAACATTTTATATTCTAGGACACAACTGCTCAATGTTAATAAAACACATTTATGTCTCATAATACTTTATGAGTTTTCTTCCAAGCCTGAAAGAACTGGAAATGATCTGTACAGAGAGAAAAAAAAAAAAAAGAAAATGTTATCATTATCACTAAACACTGTACTCCAGTTTTTAAACACACAATTATTATTACTCATATGTGCTGCCCTACTTACAGTTTTTAACAATGCAGTACACATTTTTGATTTAGAGTCAAATCCCAACAGTAAGTGTGGATTTAAATGCAGTATTCAAGGTCTCAGTAAAAGCTATTAATTTTTCACTCTTTTTCTGTCACGTCTGCTGTTTGAGGCACCCAGCCCCTCTGTTTCACCTGGCTCTGGCAGTGCAGTTCTGTCACTGCCTGCAGTTCTGCAGAAGGAACTGAAAACCCGTTTGTTCCCCCTGGCCCTTTCATTTTCCCTGGAAGGCTCCTGGAGGTTTTCCTCTGTGTTGTGCCTCTCCCACAGCCCCTGGCTGAGCTCTCAGCTTATCCTGCTGTGGGATCTTCCCAAAGTGGTTAGAAAATAGCTTTTGGTGTTCCTATCTCACAGCACACTTTGCTTCTCAAACATGACTGAAGAGCTCAAAATAAACTCCTTTTATTGACTGCAAGGCTTCCCTTGACCACATTCAGCACCAGAGAGGTTTCTATTTATCCTGCTTTTGTACATCTTCACAGCTGTTCACAAAAACTAAATACCACAGCAATTTCCTTAATAAACCACATTTCCATGGCTGCCCAGGGCCACTCAAAGCACAGCACAACCAAACTGGGCATTTAATGGTCAGGCTGGGAACTTTCCAATTTTATTTATTTTGTCTATAAAGAAAGCTCTATCACAGTGTTTATCATTTCTGTACATGATAAAAAACCCTAGCAAATAAGAATTCTACAGTGCAGGGAATGAATAATTATAATTGAAATGTCTCTCTCCATAGCCCATCCTTCAACAAGCAGATTTCTGGGTGGAAATAAAGTTCATTTTGATGGAAATAATGCACATGGTGAAGGCATTAGTAATGCTAATGAAGAGTTCCAGCAGATGGACAAAACAGGCCTGATTAAAGCTAAAGATCATGTTACAAAATCTTTGTTCAAATTGTTCAATGGAAGAATTAGACATAAACTTGTGGAATGTTCATCCATGGTCACTGCCTGTTCAGCATATTAATGATAGCTGCACTTACCAGAAAGAGAAGGATTTTTACTTTGAATTTAACTGTTCTGCCCTGTGGGTAGCTCATATCATTTATTGGGGGGTATGGAGGGACTTCCACCACTGCATCTGGACCA